ACAAAGATAATGCACAACAAAAAAAGGAAAAAACTTATAAAAGACTTGCATACCATTATTTCCATAAAGATGACTGGTAGTGTAATGCACTCCCAGAAGGATGTGACAACATTAAAATAAGACTGTTGTTGGATTTACACAAACAACACATAAATTTGCATATTAAATGTCTCATAAGTGCCTGAAATGTCTTGACATGTGCTTTACAAAACATCTCACTTGCACTACTGAATCTGGGTTTTATAAGCAGAACTCTCAAGGAGTCACTTTAAGCTTCTGCATACTAGCTTTTTTTAGTTTACACCACAAGGGGACAGTATAGAAATGTACTATAAGATTTAAATAAACATCTTTATATCATCTGAGCACATTTGAAATTTCCTCATCAAAATGTTAGCCTGGGCATATAATGTGCAACGCTGTCATCATCATCATCACAGAGCTGGTCTGTGATGATGTGACCCAGATATTTGGTTTTATTACATACAATTAACTTTTGCCCTGACAGAAAAAAAATCAGGAAAACAAAGTTCTGTGTCTGCTTTAGTCCTGCATATTAGCACAGCACTGTTTTTGGCATTATACTGCACCTCATATGTTAAACTATAATCAGAGCAGACATTCAATAACTGCTGAAAACCAGCTAAGTTGTGATTTTGATGCTTCATTTTATTTTTTTTTCAACAATTATGGTGCAATTATTTAATATATAATGGTGATGTAATTCATTAGATAAATTAAAAGAAAAATATCAGCAGATTAAAGCAACCACGGTCTTTTCTGAAGTTTTATTGCTGCCACGAGATTGAAACCGTGGAGCTTCAGTCTCTTGCTGTGGCTTCAGTTGACCACCAGRTGTCACTGTTCAGCAAATTGTGCCAAAAGAGATTTAAAGCTTCACTACTTTGATTTAATTCTTTGCAAATTGCGATAACCAACTTTAAATAGTTAATACTGGGTTGATTTTTTTAACTTTAGAGAATATTTATTAAATAACATTTAAATTGGTTATTGATGTACTCTGTGTTTTATAGGACACAGTCAGAGCTGAATAAACCTCTGGATTGTGTTTAGATTTTAAATCTTTCAGGCCCAAGTTAAAACAGCAGCAGGTTGTTTTATCTGATTAACTAACAGTTTTCTGAAACACGAGGGGAGTATTTTATTTTATTTTTTATTTATTTATAACTGTGACAATGGTTTTCTTGCTGCAATTGTTATAGACTTGGCTTTCTTTTAGTAGATCAGAACTATGAATGAATCAAGTTAAGTGTGTAGCAGAAAAGGCGTCAGATATGTTCATTCATACAGTACTCTGTTACATCACTACAAATCATTCTACAGAGACAAATCAGTGCTTTAGATCAGAGGTTCCCAAACTGGTCCCAGGACTCCCAGGGGTCCGTGAACCGTAGCTTGGGGGTCCTCAAAAATGTACAATAAATTGTTTATTTCATTTTTTGTTTAAAAAATGCATAAATGCATATAAAGGAACAATGCACAAGTAAAACAAACATATTAAACAAATCAAACAAAAAATAAATATTCCCATGGCATTTAGGSGTTAAAAATAGGGCCAGGCATTCAAAAATGATAAATATAGCAATAAAGACGTGTTCAATATCAACAGAAAACAYGTCCGATATAATATCGATAATTTTACTGGATATTAACTGCTAACGGTTGATAACTTTTTGATAAAAAAAGCTAAACAACACTGGGAAAACTAAGATTCACCTTCAAAATAAAAGCTTTAAATTGTTAATAGATGACAAATGCCTGTCAAAAAGAAAAAAAAGCTCAGGTTTTACTTTGAAATGTGTAAACTGAGGTTTCTTTCTTGCTCTTGTGCATATTTGAGCGATAAAGTGCTAGCTTGCTGGACTGCTCCATCATAGGGTTAATATGAAATCAGTTATTGATTTAGGGTGCTTTTGCACTGAAATGGAGGCATCTACAAACTGAGCAACACCCCAACAGCTAAAAGCCTGCAGCTAAACAAGGTAAGTTAGCCAAATATATTTGGTGTAACATGCAGTAGCAGTTTCATGTTTCATGCTTCAAAATAAAAATGAACAGCATGGAATGAAAGGAGAAAATGAGTGCAACAGCTCGACAGGAAATTGTGGATAAAAGAGGAAAAGGTTATATCACCAATCTGGCAAGATTCAACAAAACTCAATGTTGTCTAAAACTAATCAATAATTATCAAAACCGAGCAATATGCAACGCTTATAATACCGTGATAGGTTTTTCAGCCTACAGATAGTAAATTATTTTWAAATCAGCATGGGTGAGTCCCTCCCCTTTTTAAGGGGTTCCCAGACCCAAAGGTTTGGCGAATCCATGCTTTAGATCATGTTCAGACACTGAAAGAAGCAATGAAGTRTTCAGTGTTTTGCTCTGGGTCACTCCAGCATGTGACTGCATTCTGGTGGAAACAGCTGCTTTTTCCACTGAGCCTCAGCCACACAATATGACATGTGATGCAGAAAAAAAATTGTGAAAAGAATCTTGTTTTTTTTTTTTTTTTTTTT